AGGACAAATCAAACGCTGCCGTAACGCCAATCTTCGCCTAATTGCCTCAACCGAGCTTATCCGCGCCTCTGATGTGAATATGTAAACGAGTGCCGTGAGGATATGCGCGACGAAGAATACAATAACGTTAATGACAAAAGGAAAGGCCCCCCTCGGATTCCAAGTTGGGAAGGGGTATCGCATCGACGTAGCTGGTAGAGTGTGATCGTGTGGAGCGAGTGGACTACAGCTCGTTCTTCACTGTTCTCGTTTAAATCCTGAAGGCTTAAAAAAAGTCCTCAAATGCTTAAAGCAACCATTGGGTGAACTTGGATAAGTAGGATTCACCCGCCCAACCCGGCATCAGACGGTGGGCATCAGACGATAGGGAGGCACGTGCGCCCAGTCGACCAGTATCACTGCAGCAGCTCCACTTGAAAAACTTGACTTGCCAAACAAACGCACTGTATTGCACTAGCAAAGCTCACGCCAAGATCGCACAACAGCGCGAGCACTGCTGTATTGTCAACGACACCCCGGTACGCGCTTTTCTTCTCGTATTTCATCGGCACTGCCGCTTGTGCAGCTATCGCATCCAGAATCGCTGTTTTCTTCTTGATGCCTCCAGTGCCTATGCACGCACATGGAATGAATCTCGACTTGAGAGAGACCTTGATTCTAACAGAGTGGTTTCTTTAGCGACGACCATGCAACGTGCCACCGACTGTACACGCTTCGGGATCATCCGTTGACCAGATGTCTTGAAATCAAACATCGACGGGACGTTCGTCCCACCTGTTTTATGCTGAACAGATTCTTTATAATAACTGTAGCGAATTCCAAACGTTTTACAGATTTTACAGATTCCTAATGTTAACTCTCTATTACACCTGGTGGATCACCTTGTGAACTCGACTTGGCCGTTGATACACCAAGGAGCACTGTAGCTGGTAACACGCATGGCACTAAAGCTTTGGACGTGGTGTTGGCACTTCCATTCACAGCGCCACATTGTAAGATACGGAGCCGGCTGGGCTCGTATCAAAGTCTCCAAATAAGGCTGGCTTTCGGTGAGATCGTCAATGGAGCCGCAAGTTTCAACAGCACTGACACTGAGCATTACCGAGCGTTGAACATCTCGTTGCACGCCAATGTTGCGGTCGGAATCTAACTTGGATCGAGAACAAAAGTAAAAATCACGCAGCATTCAGCACTTTACAACAACATGTAATATAACGTTGTGTACAGACGCCTGAAAAACTGATCACTCCAACGCGTACAAATCTCGCCAGCACTCGTTTACATATTCACATCAGAGGCGCGGATAAGCTCGGTTGAGGCAATTAGGCGAAGATTGGCGTTACGGCAGCGTTTGATTTGTCCTCCTATTCACTGGCGGCAATCCACCGGTAAATTGCCACCGTGGCAAGCTCATTCCGCTGCTGCTCATAGCCTCTACTTCTTCAGCTCGCTTGCCTGCGCAGGCTGCTCGTTTGACATGAGCTGTCGTCGAGAATGACTGTCAAACGCTACTACTGGAAGGCCAAGAGGACTCTTTTACTAGCTGTAAATTTTAACAAACTGAAGGTCTTTATTAGATCCTGTCGGATACCTTCAATTTTGACCCTGAAAACCTGGTGCGTGACGGCCTTGGTGCCTTCCGCTCGCAAGTCTGATCGCATAACACTATAGTCGTAAAGGTGTCACGTACGAGCAGTGTAGGAGCCGATTCGATAGATATACTGCGTGTAATTGCATCGAAGCTGTGCATCTCGGCTACGGAGTGTTTTGCACGCCTTGTCAGCAGAAGTTCAAGTGACGCGTTCTTGACCTCTTCGGAGGTCGATGCAATTGAACAAACCCTGAGAGTCTTGCAGCGCGGCAGAAATGGGAACCGATGACAAAGTGCCAAAAGTCAATGCTGCAGTTTGTCCTAGTGAACACGATGTCTTTTATTTTCTAAACTCTCCTTATACCTACACGATGGAGCAATAAATACTGGAAGAGCGCACACAGGCGTTCAAGGCGGACGGGTAATGATACCATCGTCGCCTCGCTTTATGGAGCTCTTCATAAAATACTTCTTCACACGTGGTGCTGTTGTGACACAACTTGTGTAGCTTAATCTTTCCCTCCGCCGCTCGCTTTGACCGCAGTGCTTGATACAACTCAATACAGTAGCACCTTCTCTCTTGTAGAATCGCAAAAGTCACCGCACCGGAGCGGTTGCACGCGTGACGATTCCGCAGTCTTCGCTGTCATCTTGTCCAAACGCGAGAACGAGCGCGAGTCCATCGTCGCCCGCACGTCGCGGCAGATCAGAGCAATGTCTTCCATCGGAAATGCGTGATCCTCCGCCAGGATGCGTGCGCGCTCCATCGGGTCCAGCCACAAGTCGTTGCGGCTGCGTCGGCCGCGGCCTGTGGGCAGAGGGAACGTCTCCATCTCAGCGTCCGAGTCCGAGTCCACACTCTCGCACTCGCTGTCGCTGCTCTCCATGTCGTCCTCGAACGGGATCATCGAGTACGAGTGGCGTATCGGTCGGCCGATGAGACCCACGGGCGGACCGCCGCTCTCCGGCACAGTGCTGCCGTTGTAGCCCACGCGGAACTCCAGAACACTCACAGTGCCCCACCGCACCTGCTTCTTCGTCTCAATCGAGTCCATCCTCTGGTCTGTCGTCTCCATATCTGTTGTGTCTGTCTGTTGATCTGCAGTCGCTGCTGTAAGTGCTGAGGGCGTCAACACCCCGCAGCAAAACGCTTTGCTGTGGCTGCTGGGAAATCGAAAGTGAGGGCTGGCACGAGATTGCGCCCGAACACTCGGCGAGAGAGCGGCGTCAAGTCAGAAGGAGGATGGGGCGGCAGACGGGCCTGGGCAGTGCAGAAACGCGTTGGAAGCAGTTGCGACGACTGCAACAATTGGTTGCAGAGATTGTCGGTGGCGCGAGCTGTGACTCTGTCGGTGGTGGCAACGGAGATCGAAGATCGCTAAATTCGCCCATAAGATTGACGTGCCAGAAGGAACGGATACTGTGGGTGGCGCAGCCTTCGATGAAATGTGGTCGCTTGGCTCCGCTGCAGTTTAGAACCAACGAAACCGCTGCTGTCGTGGTCTGTCGACAGACAACCACCAATTGTTCGGTTCGTGTGGCTGTATTCCTAATGCTAACGCTGATTTATTTGGCCAGCGCCTGTCCAGCCGGGCTCCCTGGCACGACTCAAGCGAGAAGTGTTGCAACGAAACACGAGCGGTCTATTGTACGCTGCGGCACGACAAGCATCGCTGCAGACTTGAACCTGCAGTTTCCGCATCCATTCTGCTTCGGTGGAGGAATTTCTTGTTCCGAATTGAAAGTGCCCTGACGTCTCAAGTAATTATGTGACGCTAGCTGGAGGGTTACGGTACCACTTTGACAGGTACACTCGACGCACTGCGTGTCAATGTTCGAGCGTGTGGCGGTAGTCATTAGTGACGAGGACAGAAAGCTACCGTCAACAGCAATTTGCTGGAGGCGAATTGTTAGGGGCGAACGATGGTGTACTCCCCGCAGCTGACGAAGAATGGTGTTTGGCTGGCGCATGTTCATCGATCGCGAGCGTCTTGAAGACGATCATCCTGAGAAACGAGGATCTCGGGGCGTGATCAATGTTCAGAATACTGGACTGAAACCCGTTCTTGCAGCCGCGAAAGCGAGTAGTGTGCATGGAGTGCTTTGCCATCCGACTCGGATTCCGAGCCGTGAACATTGTGTCCAGCCGGCACTGAGTCAGAGTCGGACAGGCATCAATGAATGCTGTGAGGATTGGCGGTCTGAGTCCGCCTCGACGTTGCTTGTGCGGAATGCGGCGAGCAGGTGGATTTCACCGATGGTCGACACCGTATCCACGATCCGCCGAGCCGTTGATTCTGCTCCATCAGGGATCAAAATGCCGATCTTGTGAACAGGGAGCCCCTGTTCACGAGTTCGCCACGGACCTTCGCCATCAATGGTCCAGCGGGAATGGCTAAGGTGACCTTGTCAAAGGTCTTAGATGCTCGGGGTGCTAGGTTCTAGAATCTGTCACGACCAGTGAACGGATAAAAAGGAGAAAACAAGTTTTAGCATTCGTCTTTAGGTTTGCAGTGCAGGCTCCGCTACAACTCTCAACAACAACCAAGGATCTGCTTTCGTTAATTTAGGTATGAGAAACTCTCAAAGAACCGCAGTACAGGATACGGTGAAGGAGTACGACAGTGTCGACACAGCATTGCTGTGGCAGTACAGTAAAGCTCGCGTCAAGTTCACACGACGTTGAACACGTATGCCATCACTGCCCGTCTGCAAGCTTCGCTGACTCAGCGGCAACGCCATGCTGCGTGTTTATTTGTTTGCTTGCCAGTGTGGTTGTTTGGAACCAGCCATCGAGGATCGATCGATGCATGCCTTTGTCGCTGTCAAATGGAGTCGAACTCGCCGTTTTTCTACGATGACGCGTTTCTTAGCCGCGCCACCGACTGCACCTGCTTCGGGCCGAGCAGGTCCGTTTGCTGTGTCGACCAGTGTCTGCCTGACTTGCGTGCGTGTGGACACCAACTGGCAAAAATGGTCCCACCTTTCGGGGTTTTACAGAGAATCTCATCTTCGTGAGTCACGGGCAAAGCCGATTTTATGCTGTTAGCTCTTCAACTCGCAGTGCTGGTTGCGGCGCGGCGGCTCTGCTCTACAGCTACGACTTTCGCTGGAGCGGGGCAATAATGGCGTCGTACATTGGCGAGTTACCATGTATCGATCGCGCCGACCGATCGATGTACGGAGAGCCCGGATGGTCTCCCGTAAAGCTCTCGAGAAGGAATCCCGCACAACAGCGCGACAAGCTCTTCGCGTCGAGTACATGTGTATTATGGATGAGATCATCTCTTTGTTTTCACAGTGAAGCTGGATCAGCTTCAATCCTAGGAAGATAAAGCAACTCAACCGTACATCAAACTGCACTACACGGGTATCATCACTACCGTGGCCTCGTGTTTTATAATGCAGTATTTTAGCTGTTGTTCGCTTGTCAATTATAGCTGCCAATCGTCGGTTTCCGACGGAAGACCTCAAAATGGAGGCATGAAGACCTCGCTTTATTTAGCAGGAGGCCTCAGCAACTAAGCCGAAACTCGACTGATCTCAAAGCTACCGTCGCCGACGAAGGAATACTTGCAAGTCGATATGGCTTCGACTGCTAATCTACCTGGAGTTCCAGCAGACTCCGGGGGCTCTTCGACAATCCCGATCTCGTCACCGCCACCATCACCTACCAAGTCCAAGTTGCCCAGTGTTGATGACATTTTAGCTCATGACGGAAGTGTAGATGTTCGATTACTGATGATTTCTATGTGGAAACATCGAGCCAATGCCGAATTCACATCGGAACTCTGTCAGCGTCTGTGCTCGATGCCAATCACCCAGCCAATGTTGGACCAAGTAGAATTCTACCTGCCACAGTTGACACACATGGTAGTACATCTCGAACGAGAACTACCCATGGAAGATATGGAACAATTCGTACTACTGCTTTCGCAGAGTAGCGTGCACTTCGCGTTACAGTTCTTCTGGATGATTTACGCAGCGCTAGATGAGAACCGTCCAAAGCGTGCCGGTAACAACCCCCATACCTTTGCACGCTGTGCAAGGCTGTTGCTAGCACTCGAGCAGTGTTTTGTATACGGGTCTCCGGCAGCTCGCCAGGCGTCGGAGCTGCTAACTCGACAAAGTATCTCCCGAGACGAGATGGAGCAGATTCTCATGGCCGATCGTCGCTTTTTCGCTGCTCAACAAAGCAGTACAGACTCTACTCATGGAGTAGAAGATGTTGCCCCGATCTCCGGTGGTTGGTTACTCAAGAAAGGGGGTGGCACTCGAACTATGGGCCGACGCAACTGGACGATGCGCTGGTGTCGTATCGAGAAGCGCATCTTGTTAGTCTTTACTAAACCTACCGATTCTCAGCCTCGAGCAGCCATACCACTGCATGGTGCTAAGGTACACGTCGTGGAGAATAAGCGTCCGTTTTACTTCGAAATCGCCCACGACTTCAGCGAGACCAAGGCGAAATTTGCTGCTAAAACTGCGGATGAATTATCCACGTGGGTCGCGTACATTCAAAAGAGCGCTGCGTTACCAGAACCCCCAACAGGAAGTCCTAACAAGGGAAGTTACAGTCCTGAACGTACGCTAGCACGCATGTCGTTTGCCATGAGAACTTTTATCATGCAATCCTCCAGTAACGTGACTAGCAACGCCATTGACAGCGCCACTGTTCCCTCGCAAAGTGGCTCTCCTTCGAAAGCAGATAGTACAAGTCGTCCGGCAGAAATCACAGCTGATGTATTAGCTGCGAATATGCGAACTCGGATGCTCAGTAGTGGTGTTAGCCAAGCGGGTGATACCGAAGTGAGTCAGTATTCAACGACGGACTGCTGTGGCTCCGACGCACTCATGCAGGCTCTAATGCTGCCTGACCAGCAACGACGGTATGAATTCTTCTGCAACATGGTTCACTTTGTGAAAACTATCACGGATATATCGGAGGCACTGCGTCGTGTTGAACCACCTAAGCGCAAGGAATTACTAGGACCTCTGCTCAAACAGTTGCGAATACCCCATCGAGCATACATCCCGCTGTGCAAGTCAACAGATGTAAGTTTCATTCATGTTGAAAGTTGAAATCGTTTACAGTACCACCACTAACCACGTCATCCTGTTAGCCATATTGTAACGTGGTATCGGTATTCAGCGATGAAGGCCGTGTGTTCAGCACGCACGTAGGTTATTTTGTTGTTCTTTCTCTTTTGTAAACTGTTTTTAACTGAAACTCTCTGTAGGAGCGAGCACCGTGTTTAATCTACTTTGCCACCGAGGAGAATGAGAGTGGTGAAGATGTGTCCACTGTTTTATTCAACGATCTTTATGAAACCAAGGCACCCAGTGTCTGTAACAACATTGACGAAGACGATGAGATCGCGACAGCTTTTGATCAGCACGCCGCGGATATTGCACTGAGGCAAGCAAGAACTTCACAGGTATCTCGAGCTAAAGACATGCCTAGGCATATGTCGTCATTTCTTCGCGAACTTCTTTCGGTGAGTTGATATTTATTATTCAGCCCAGACTTTTGATGACTAAATGAATTTTACAGGATGATGAGCGTAAACTGCGCATTGAGAAGACGTTCGGTGAACTAACTTTCACGAAAGCTGAGCGTCTTCAGAAGACTATTCAATGTGCGAATGTGGAGCGCTGGCGTCTCGCTGGTTTGATGTCCAAGAGCTTCGATGATCTCCGCCAGGAAGTTCTAGTCATGCAGCTCATCTCGTACTTCCAGCAGATTTTTGAGTTGGAAAAGCTGCCATTGCGACTGCATCCGTACCGCATTTTATCCACAGGATCAAGTACTGGTCTCATTGAAGTGGTTAGCAATGCCATGTCGCTCGATGGGGTCAAGAAAACTCCAGGATTCAAGAACCTCCGCAGTCACTTTGAACAAATGTATGGTGAGGCCACGAACAATTCGGAAGGGGACGAAAATGGTGAGGGAGCTGAGCTGCTGCATCAGGCTAAACTCAACTTCATCCACAGTTTAGGTATGCCTATTTTCTTCGATTTGTGCTGTACCAAATCCTAAACTAACAGAATTTCTGTACAGCTGCATACTCGATTGTGTGCTACATTCTCGCTATCAAGGATCGACACAACGGTAACATTATGCTGGACATCGAAGGGTATATTATCCACATTGACTTTGGATTCTGTAAGTTATTCTTTTTATTCAAAGGCGATAAAAAGTTTCTTTCTCACTTTTCTTTTGTTGATGTAGTCCTAGGCCGAGCACCTGGAGGAAGCTTCAGCTTTGAGACTGCTCCATTCAAGCTGACGGCCGAGATGGTGGACGTACTCGGCGGCCGCCATTCCTCCAATTTCCAGTATTTTACAGACTTGTGTGTACAAGGTGCTCTTGCAGCCCGAAAGCATGCCGAGACCATCTACACTTTAGTGGAAGTAATGAGTTACCACTCCAAGCTTCCGTGCTTCGTTGGAGGTGCAGCAGGACCCTTATCGGGACTGAAAGACCGTCTATTCCTCAACATATCGGAGAAGAAAGTAGCACCGACAATCCAAAGCATGGTCCAGCGAGCCTACGATCATTTCGGCACGAACAAGTACGATCAGTTCCAGACATTTTCAAATGGAATAGCCAAATAGACTGGGGTAGTACTTCGCAACACAAAACGTAAAATAAAATAAAATACTAATGTGTATTGGATGGGCCTTTAAATTCTACTTTAGTATTACGAGCCTCCATAGTTCGCATCACTCCTGTAGCAGCGCTATGGTTTAGCTTCTTGATTGTCTTTAGCTTCCTTCCTGTTTGCACCTACAACAGCGATAAATATTAGGTTATTATCGTCCTTGATTGCAAATAATTTCGTTGGGCGTACTGAATGCTCTCACGACGTTAGATGCACCTAAAAACTTGCTGGAGGTGCTACGTTTAGCTGCCGCTTTTCCGGTGGTTCTAGCTGCTACAGCGTCTGAAAGAGCCTGCTGTCCGTCGTCACTAATAACTACTGCCCGTAGTTTGTATCGATGATCAGGAAGCAAATCTTCCACTGTAGTTGAACTAATCAAACATTACTTATCAGTACACAATGTATGCCCGCAAATATCTGGCCTACGTACTTGATAGCGTGGTCATCCGTTTTTAAAACTGACTCCCATTTGCAAGTCCCGTCCGGTTCGGGCGACGTCAGGTAAATGATACAAGAAACTCCAGGCTGACGGTCACTGTCTGCTAAAGTCCACGCCACGGAAATCTCCGCTGGTCCAGTATCAGTGACACATAGTACAGGTGCCAACGGTTTTGCTGTGTTCGTGACAATTTACTATTGTAAGTGCGATATTTAGATGAGGATGCCAACTCGAGAACTCACCTTTTCGCGTCCTGACGAGCTCAGACTCCGCGCTAAACTCACTTAGACCGTGAAGGTTGATTGCACAAATGGACGCAGAATACTCGGTATCCGCACATAGTCCACTTATCGAAGTCTCCGTGGGGAACGCAACTGCCAGCGCAATCTTTACTGGTACTGATGATGAGGAAATCTTAACTTTATATCCTGACACTGGGACAACCTCGTCCAAGTTTGGCCGAGGCGGCGACCTGTATCCACAAAACCAAACTAATCAGCCAAGTTTCATATAAAAGTAAGATATATCGTACCATAAGATTTTCAACTCGGTGTCAGAAAGAGGCTCAAGCGTCGGAGCAGCAGGGGTTGATGGAGCTTAACCAAGGAGAGAAACTATTAGTTGACAATTTTATCATAGTCTACAAACCGCCAGTAAGGTGAAAAAGAAACCTTACGTTTGCCCAATAGGTTTCTAAACAGCTCCGTTATTGCTGGTGTAGTGCACACGTCCACCGGTGTTAGACCGTTCTACGGAGAGCATTATTATTCAGTTCCTTGTTGAAGTGCTGACGTCTATCTGAATCATGCCACCTTAGTCTCTGCAATCCGAAGTTCTGCTCCGTTCTGTTTTCAGATATATCGAAAAATAACTTGAGCGTGATAAACCAGGAGACGCAATTAACCCTCAAGACACCTGTAGCAGTAGATCGACGACCCCCACATGTCCTTGCTGGGAAGCAAAGAAAACTGGAGTGCAGCCAGATCCGTTCGTACCATTGATACTAGCACCTTGTTTTATCTACGCAAACACCAATTTCAGATTAAGACGAATGAACTAACCATGCAAAATGGTTTAAACACCTACCAGGATATCACAGATCGAGTTGTGCCCTTGATAGGCTGCGTAGTGCAGTGGGGAATTTTGGTTCTGCATCAGTAGTAAAACGAATATTGGGAAACTCAGGTATTGTTATCAGCTCAACAATTGAGATTGCTTACACCATATTCTGAAGAATCTCTTTGATTCACAAGCTCCGAGCCGTCCTCTACAAGTCTTTCCACTACATCCTCGAAGCCGTTCCAGCAAGCTGTATGGATATCGACATGGAATCTTTGTCGTCCCAGATCTCTCAATCTTGCCAGAACTTTCTCAACCTCTCCAGCAGTTCCATTTCCTTCCGACTGTCCTACCCACCACTCCGTGAATTCGTCCCTGTCGATCACGCCGTTGCTATCACGATCTAGAATCTGAAGCGCTTTGCGGAAATCTCGCTCCGTCAGAACACCTCCCAAATCCGAGACGAGATGGCGTAGCTCGGCTGCATCAATCCATCCACTTCCGTCTTCGTCGTAGCAGGCGAAGGCAGCGCGGACAGTCTCACGCAGTTCTTTATCGTCGGCCATAACTGTTTTAGGCACAGTAGTATCCCTACCGACAGTTTCTAAATTTATTTTAGTAATTCGGTCTGCTGCACCTCCTGACTCCACAGATATCGAATAATCTCTCGCTGTTGACCAGCATCCGACTGTAGATAGTCCTTTTGCGCAGTCTTGTCCTTCATCAAGTATGTCAAAGCACTGCCGAACCGCACAAGGTATGGCTCAATCTCCGCGTTCCACATTTTGTCGTTCCACGGCACTTTGGTCATCTTGGTCTGTGCCTTATCAGCCTGTAAATGCTCCACCAATTCCCCTTCCTGCACGTCAAGAATGTACAGATACGTCTGCAATTGGGCGATGTCGTACTTGGGCAATGGGTTCATGAACCTCTTGAGTCGGTTCTTGACTTCTATCACCTTCCCATCCGCTCGACCGTCGATCTTGCCCCCCACTAGCAAGTTATAGTCCCCTATAGTAGCTATTTTCTTCTTCGAGAAGACCAAATTTCTCTCTTTAACCACCACTTTTCTTTTCTCCTGGTATTGCTCGATGCCTGCTGTCTCCTGCTTAACACCGAAGCCCTTATGCATCGTGGAGGTCACAAATTGTACCACGTCGGCCTTTACGTCGGCCGGGGTGGCGGATGGTAATGATTTCACCACCTTGGCTTGAGCTGTGGCCACCTGGTGAATAGTTTTGGCCTCAGAGGCCTCTAGGATCAGCTCATTGATGGCTGGAGCGGCGCCTAAATCCTGTACGATGGCTTGCATCTTCTCTTCAGGACTGGGCAGCGCTAGAGAGAGACGCTTTTGGAGAGAGGAGACCTGGCTAGGATTCGTGCGGCGCCAAACGTCAAGAAAAACCTCCTCGATCTTGCGATACGGATTCATCGCGCTGATGACCGGCACTTCGCTCGCGAAGACCATGATGTTGCGCCCCAGCGCGCGCTTGGTGGCCGCCATGATGACCCCTAATGACAAAGTTTGTGCGAAAACAATTTTTGGCCAGTGAAATCACAAAATTGTTTTGACCAATGGGAGGACGATAACTGTAGGAGGTGGCTTTTTTTATTACGATTTGGGCCTTTGTTTGTACCGTATCAGAACCGGTACTTCGATATTCTCGACAAAACTGCTGAGTATACCGGTTTACCGGTACAGCTACTGCTGCTAATTACTCGGAAAAGGTAAACCTGTATTGTAAACGTTTACCGGTATCAGCGGTGAAACCTGCCTACCGGTTTCTGAAGACATTAGATTACACAGGTTTTATATTTTACCAATCAGAGCGGAGTAGCAGACTTTATAAGTTCAGTTCTGACAAACTGTAGAGCTCACGTCACCCAGTGCTGAATCAGTCTGGGTAAGTCAGCGAAGGTCTCATCAGCTAACTCCACTGTACGACTACCATGTCATCAATGACTGAGAGTCCCTTCACGGCCAGTGACTTTATGGACCTACTGGGTGACGCTTCCCCGTGTGATGTTGAGCTGAATGTGACGCCCCAGAGCGCATTAGAGGACCCAAAGGCCCGAAAGAAGGCCAGACACCGACAGGAGATGGTCGAATTTCGTCTCAACAAGAAAGAGAAGCAGAAGAGACTGGTAGCTGAGCATCAACGACTGGAGCGAGAGATGAAGACGCTGGTGGAAACAGTCAGAGCTGCTGCGGCCTGTAGCAGCGGTGACAGTGTGACCGACACGCGACAGGAGCTGGTGGTGGAGAGAGAAGCGCTACGTAATCAGAACGTGGCGTTACGAGAGGAGATCACGCGGTACGAGAAGTTTAAGAGTGTAGTACTGGAAGCAAGTCAAGATCGAATGGAGAAAGAGGAGTCGAACCTACTCCCAAAAGACAAGGCTGGTTGGCACGTTGGTGAAGGAGACACGTCGTTTTACTTCCACCCGTTCACGCGTGACGAGGTCGACGCTGAAATGCGGAGATTTGAGTCCGAATTAGCCGATGGGATGCCGTCTCTTTCGCTGGCTGGAACGTTCTTTGGGTGGGAAGTATACTACGCGCCATTGGTTGCTTCAGAGGTGGACAGTACGCGGTTAGTGGCCCGCACTCGAGTTACCAAACGCCTGAGATGCTCACTGGACGTACACACTCAAATGTCTTACACAAAGCAGAAAGACCTCAGTCCTATGATCGTCACACCGATCGGTTGGGGACTCCACCAACGAGGGAAAGCGAGTACCCATGTACTACAAGAATTTGACCAAGATACACTCGTGTTCGCGCACGACATCCCTGGATTGGAGAAACATCTCCGGTATTTGTTTCAAGTGCGGAGGGCTCAGTGGAAACTGGCAGACGGAAGACGGAAGTTGACTGCGAGCTTAGCTATCGTGGACTCCGATTCTAACAGACGCAGTCGCGATGCCGATTCGCATGATAATGTTGAGTGGGCCACCGAGGGAGGCATCCAGGTGTCTGTCACCGAGGTGAACGAGAACTCAATTAAGGTGGTCTGTGATCACTGGGCGAGCTGTGAGAGCAAGCTGCACGCAGAGTATCTGATGATCCAGTGGACACAATTCGCAGTGTGGTGGGAACAACTGACAGTGCCGTCCAACTTGCTCCTTAACACTACGTAAATCCTATGCTAGACGTCTTTTATCCGCTCATAACATTATATAGTATCTCGAGTTTACCTATCAGTTGCAATTGTAAATTTATCAGTGGCTCATAGTTGGTGCCGGTACGAATACTATGTAAGTGTTAAAGAGTAAAAGGCAGTACAAAATGACTTCAGTGCAAAGCAAAACAATTAGAAACCCAGATAAACCAAGCTGGAAATTCCAAACCCCAGGGGGCTGGGAAAGAAAACATGATAAATAATCGAGAAAGACATCGAAGTGTAAGAGGGCAGTTGCTTCTACAATGACTCTGAAATAGTACGAAGCATTTGCAAGATATATGTAAACACGGTACTTGCGCAGTTGAGAGAATGTTTATTTTACCAGACCCAGAGCACTCAGCAGAAACCAGGGGCCATAATTTTGCTGTGGTTCAGCATTTTTACTGCTAACACGGCGAGAATATTTACTTCCTCGATAATCCTATGGAGAGTCGCCACACAGTTCATCAGTTTACGATGTTATCTTCCGTAAATTGCTTTTACACCCTTTGTAATGATTTCGTTAGCTTCGAGATTAATATGAAAATCACAAAATCCGTTAAAGTTTAAAAAAAATATCGCTTTTAGTATATGTAAAATCGACACCGCTTGGAGGTACACCATGATTTGCAACTCCCAGCACAGTGCTCTGGCTGTTTAAGTGTCTGGGGACACCCTCACCGGTGTCTCGTATGTACGCTCTGGGGTTCTTGGACACCCAACAGCGTATAGGCCTAGTTTGGCACGATTTTGCTGATAGTCACCTCCAACCCGTTCATATCGTTGACAAAATTCTAAGAATAGTGGCAATATGAAGAGACTTGGAGCACAAATATCTTTCAAGTTACGGTCAGTACAAAAAAAGCGCTTTTTGCTACCGTATAACTCCTGTCCTAAGCGAACCTCAATGTGCACAAGATTGTGGCATATGCCATAAGTAGCCTAATATTAACACTTAATCGTTACAATTTAAAAATTTGCTACACTCAATTTCACCCAATCAAAAATAATAAGGACACGATGGATTCGAACCCGTGTTCATCCGCATAAATGGCGGTGCTCTAAACCACTGAGCTACGTGTCCAAGCTCACTTGGTTACCTTCGAAAAGGGCAGAACTTATGTCGAGTGTATTAAAATTATTCGTTATCAGAGCTGTCACTACTGACAAGTTCGTCACCGGAGACACCTGTCTCGTCTGCTACGCCGAGATCGGCGAGTTGGTTGAGTACATCACTGATATCTTGGGGTTTGTCGTGATCTTTAGCGACAACAGGGCTGCGTGTATCTGTGAGCAGTTCGGTCTTAGCAAATCCACTCACGATAGTATCAGCACTGAGCTCTGACCACGATTCTGCAATCCACGCAGTGATCTCGTGGCGTTTCGGAGCCACCATTTCAAACGCCATTCGTGGGGGCTTCTCTTGTAATTGTACGACCTTGACATACATATGTATAGCGTGGTGGGACTTTAAGAAGGACAACGTTGATTGACGCAGCGTATTGAGTGACCTATTCGGTCCAATGTCCCGAGAAGTCATCCCACAGAAGGAGGATCTTCCCATGCATGTTGTCTCGGTAGTCCAAGAACTTAACCGAGATGTCGGTATTCCACCAGGCAATAGGGTTCCCATAGATTTGGCAGTCATGCTTCGCTTGAAGAGGAGCAATCTCTTTCCACAAGCGGACGCCAAAGCCATGCCATTTAGAATCGTTTTCTTCTTGTACATGTCGATGACGGGAAACACCGGCCTTGAACACCAGGAAGGGAGCCCGCTCGTTGTCGTGCCGATCTGCCAAAAGCATTGCTGTTGCTCGCTCCTTATCTTTGCCGCTGCACTCCACCCATACAGTCTTCTCACCTCGCGTGGTGATAGTCTTGCGAGGTAGGTATTCAAAGAACACAGCTTCCGTACAGCATTAGAGAGCTTTAGTGAACTGTAATTTATTAACGCATACCTGTCTGGTCCGGGTTAAAGACCTGTATGATGTTGTGCTCAACGATAGCCGCCCCAACTTCTCCACGAAATTTGGTCCTCGCTGCTACATCATCCTCGGGAGTGGTTTGGCCCTGTCGCGTCCGCGCACGTACAGAAAGCTTGTGCTTACGCATAAATCGCCGCCTCCATGAATACGAAGCGCTGAAGCTTTCGCTAGAAATACCAGCGTCTGCGGCAATTTCAAGCGCCTTGAGCTCCAGCATTTTAGCTGATACCGGGCAGCCTTCCTTCCTCATCGTGTTAAGCCAAAGTACGATGTCGCTCTCCGCTTGAGCTGGGAGAACTGTCGCATCACCGTGCCAACGGCAGTTCTCTAAGTGCCCTTTGCCTTCTTCACACACAGACTTAATAAAGTTAGCTTGCTTTTTCCATTTCGATATCTGCTTCTGTTTTCTTTTTTTTCTGCTTTGTTGATGTTGGGGTAGAACGCGCTGATAACCTCGCCTACTGTGTCTCCGTCCTCAGGCCGCTCGAGAATTTGAAGCTTATGGCTGTAGTCGACTGCAATACGGTTATACGTTTTCTTCATCCTTCCCGTCCCGGTGGTCCGAGGCCGCGGCATCGCTGTGCTGTAAAATTCTAAAGTAAGTGTCCAGCCTCAACCAACAGCTGATCCATTTTTAGTTGGTACTTACCCCAACTTTACTGGCTAACATATGCTATAAATATGCTTATACCATTGGTTACAAAAATAGTTCGCTTAGGACAGGAGTTATACGGTACGAGCATTCGTACTTAAACGCGTGAAATGGTTGAATTCTGTGACGCGTTGCACTCTCCAGTACAGTTTTCTTTTTTAATGCAGCGGTAACCCCATTGCGTTTTTTTCTTTTCTTTAAAAGGTCGGGAATTATTGAATAAAATTGAATAATCATTATTCACATTCTGAGCGGGCTCTCGTGATCCAGTGCGTTGCTAACGTATTGTTTACTTCACAAAGGTGGCTTCAGGGCGTGAAACATTCGCGTATCGCTCAGAGCAGGTTTTTGATCGAGCCTTATCAAACCGATAGCCACTTCACATTTTCCTTTCAAGATCACACGGCCCTTTCTTACAGCGGAAACCCCTCTCTACTGTCATACGCAGTATATTCTACGCTGCTCTTGCCTTTGCGCTTTTAGCTCGCAACATCGTCGTCGGAGTGTTCCCTCACCCCAACGAGCCTCGTCTCTTGCCAAGACATATCCTGACTATGCGACCAACGGCAAGAGATCCCTTCGGGTTGAAGGCCAAGAAGTTGTCCAGGGCAGACCGATCGACAGGAACGATGGGGTCTGGAAAGCCATAGCCCGGAGCTTCAATAAAGTCCTCCCTAGGCAGGGGATAATCATGGAGACACTCTTGCAGAGGCCAAGGCCGCCCTAAAAAAAAGCCTACCTGTAGATGACCTCAATCCAACTGGTACACTTTGCATTAAACTAGTTTCATCTAAGATTTGATATTGAAAACACTATGAACGGCACAACATGGCTCACAGATTTGCAGAAAGTAGAAGAGATCCCATCGCTATGACTACGGAAGGATCCATATGTAGCAAAACGAGCTATGTAGAATGTATGGTATGCAGTAATGCAGATATGAGACTGCGGCAAACAAAATGTTACTAATCAACATTTTGAGATAAACGGCCCTGAAGTTGACCAACTGTTTTTCGTACATAAACGAATTTCTGAGTTAGAGCCTTTTTTACTTTTCAAAAATTTGGATCGAGGTGTATCACCTACAAAGCAGACGACCATGGAGGATCTAACAGCGTATGCGCCGGGAGCTGCTGCTGGCGGCGGTGAAGCTACTCCCCACCGTGCCGACACTGGCGCTCCTGTTGCTGCCCCGGTCGCCCCCAGGGAACCGGAAGAAGAAGTAGGCTGTAGCAGCCAAAGCGCCGCGAGTGACAGCGAGAAGCTTGACGACAGCGAGGACGAGGACTTCACCCCCGACTCACAGGCATCTAGTGACGACGAAGAGCCCCTTACAGCTGAGAGCGCAGGTAGTGGAGAGGAGGACACTGCTGCTGAGGGTGACGAGGACATTAGTATCTATTTGATGGACCAGGATCTTCGTGGCCAAGTTACCTCCATTCTTCTAGCTGATGCGTGTGGGAATCGCTGCGTGGAGAGCAAGACTAAGCAGCTGGAGTTGCTGCTCTGCTCGCTGTCCACAATGACGAAAACGGCGAAGCCCATCAGCCTCTACACGCTGTTGGGGGCACTGATGCAGGTGCCTGTCGATCGTGTCCGTGGGTATGGACTTCGGGATAAGTTCGCATACTATCTTCCTTTCGTGGGTAAGGTTTGTCGCCCACGTTTGCTCGCTGCTACGGTGTGGTCCCCCACTGTTCAACGATACAAAATCCACGTCCGTGACGGAAATATTGGAACGAAGAGTCATGGGAACACTTATAACCAGAACGCAGCGGCTGTTGATCTGGTCTGGTTAGTGAAGTGGTTTAAGGAGTTTGCAGAGGAGGTTGGAGAGGTTGTGCCGGTGAGAGTTCGAATGCAGAAGATCAAGGATGGCGTCACGAAGAAATATTACAGCAGCGAGATGTACATGCTACTGCCCGCGCACTTCACATGGAATGTTTTGTACGAGGAGATGCACAGCTTCGTGGAGCAGATTCGCCTGCGCGTCCGAGAGCCTGCACCCTCAACGATGAGGAAGCTACTGACGCTCCATTGTCCGACCATTCGCATTCGGTCGCCAAGGAGCAACGTGTGTGATATCTATTCCATCTACCATACAAGCATGCGCAACGACGTCAGTGCAGAAAAAACCGAGGCGCCTGGCAGACACACGGAGTCCGCTCGCAAAATGCGGTAAGGGAGATTGGTATCAATTTAATCTACAGGTAACTTTTAACAGGGGATGTTAATATCTTTTTGTTTTGGTTGCAGCCGTGAATACAAGAAGGACAAGACTTCAGTGAGCGACGACCATCGTCATGGACTTCTCGCAGAACCTTACTGTTCCTAGCATTGCCAGTACGCCGTCGCAGTGGTATTTTTGTTCACTGTTGTACGTCAGTTGCTTCGGCATTTTCTGCGAGAACGACGGTATTCAAACCAACTACCTCTACGATGAAACAGCGAGTGGAAAAGGCAGCGACCAGATCATCTCCATGCTAGAACATTTTCTCCTGACCAAGGTTCTGTCTGAAGGCAAGAATAGATTGACTGTTTACGCTGACAATTGCTCGGGTCACAACAAGAACAACTACGTCATCAAGTTCTTGTTGGCGCAAGTGGACATGGGGCTGCTGAAGCACGTAGACTACAAGTTCTTTGTAAAGGGCCACACGAATAACTCGTGCGATCGAGGTTTCGGTCATATTCGCAAGCACGTTGCGAAAGAAGATTGCTATACTGTGGCTCACGTAGTGGACGCTGTTAAGGAAGCTGCGGCGAACTCTGTGACGGTCCACATTTCACGTGGTAGCTTGCAGTTTAAGACGTACAAGGGCGTGCTGACGGATCTGTACAAACGCCTAGAACGCATTCAGCAATATCAGATCTTCTCCATGGACGAAGTGTCGATTGGAGTAGTGTCGTGTAGGAAGGAACCTAGCGATGAGCCCGTCGAGATGAATCTCCGGCGTAAGATTGACGGTATCCTCACGACGAAGGAGAAGGTGGTGAAGA